ATACCATCTTCCAAGATGAATTAAATCTGACACTTGTTCCAAACACTCATAAACATACAATATTTAAAAAAATGATTATGAATGTGTGGAATAAACATATATCTCTTCACTCGAACATCCAATATAAAATAATAGTCAAAATAAATTGACACTCAAAGCTCAAAATGTTACAAAATTATATCAATTTCTTCTGAAAATTCTTCAAACTTCTGAACAGTATGTTACAGTTATAATATGTATATCTTTACACATTCCCAGTCCAACACTTGATTCAAAACAAAATATATGCTTGGGTACGACTTGTCTTGGGTACCAGTTCACCAGTTACCTTTAAAATGACTTAAATGCAGCTCTAACATAGAACCAGGGAGATTTGAAAAATCAGGCTGTTGCTGGATTAAGTTCGAGAGTTGTGAATAATCATGTCTATATAAAGACATATCCTTTGATTCATATGAGAGTAAACTGAGAAATTACAAAATTATTTCGCACCAGCTATTTTTGAGTAATCTTTTAAAAATATAGTAGTGTAGTAATTTTATCTCTAATATGTATATATATGTGTTTAATTTTCCATGCTTTGAAGATAACAAGACACATAGTTGAATATATATGATCTAAAATATGTCAACTAATCACCATTCAACTAAAAATATAAACAACTATTGCTGGAAGTGAAACATTGGTCATTTTGCCCATTTATGTGTCATTTTTTGATTTTAGTGTGCTAATAAATATGCTAAACTTTTGAAAAGTTTAAGAATATTATCATGCAATAATAACATTTGTGTTGGTTTTCTCATTTAATGGTGGAGGGCAGATCTTAGACCTCTAATAAAAACATTCGTTGTCTTACATACATTTTCTTTAAATTAAATCAGAGAAGACAGATTCAATAAAAAACATATATGAATCTATCATCAAAGAATTATAATTGTGGAAAATTATATGCTACTGCTAAATGCAGAATGCTAAAAATGCCAAATGTTAGACACATCTAATCAAATGAAGGTTACATTAAATAATACATAGTATTGATAGAGAATAGCTACAATTTTGTTAAAGTTGATGATTTGAAATTAATTTTTCATTTACATAAATGGGGCAGGGGAGACATGAAAGCTATAATATCAACATTGGTTGTCCAATATACATTTTCTATATCCTAAATGGAAGAAGACATGTACAAGAACAGATTTGACCAAGAATGCACCAACCAGTCAGCATAAAACTCAAGATATATGGACCTATACTATATACGTTATTGCTGAAAGTGAAAATGAAAAAAAAGCCAAGTTTTGTCCTTAAATATCTCATTTCTAGGCATTAGAATACTAATGAGGGTCCTGAAACATCAGAAAAAGATTAAATAATACATAGTATTGACATAGAATAGTTACAACTTTGTAAAAGTTCATAATTTGAAGTTATTTTTCTTTTTATTAATATTTCTGGTCATTTTTCCTAATAAATGGGGTAGGGGAGACCTGAAAGCTCTACTATGAACATTGGTCATCCACTATACATTTTTATATCTTAAATGAAAGAAGACATCTACAAGAACAAATTTGACTAAGAATGCACCAACCAGTCAGCATTAAACTCAAGATATAAGGACCTATATGGTATTGCTGAAAGCGAAAATGGTCAAAAAGCCATGTTTTGTCCTTAAATGTCTCATTTCTAGGCACTAGTTTACCAATAAAGGTTCTGAAATATCTTAAAAACATTAAATAACACATAATATTGATATAGAATAGCTACAACTTTATTAAAGTTTATAGTTTCAAGTTATTTTATATTTTCATATTTTTCTTTAATTTTTCATGATAAATGGGGTAGGGGAGATCTGAAAGCTCTAATATGACCATTGGTGGTCCACTATACATTTTCTATACCTTAAATGGAAGAAGACATCTACAAAAACAGATTTTATTACAATTGCAACAACCAGTAAGCATAAAACTCAATATATGAGGAACTATATGTTACTGCTGAAAGCAAAAATGATTTAAAAAAATGCCAAGTTTTGTCCTTAAATGTCTCATTTCTAGGCACTAGTATACCAATAAAGGTTCTGAAAAACATTAAATAATACATAATATTGATATAGAATAGCTACAACATTGTTAAAGTTTATAAATTCAAGTTATTTTATATTTTCATATGTTTCAGTAATTTTTCATAATAAATGGGGTAGGGGAGATCTGAAAGCTCTAATATGACCATTGGTGGTCCAATATACATTTTTTATATCTTAAATGGAAGAAGACATGTACAAGCACAGATTTAATCAAAATTGCAACAACCAGTCAACATTAAACTCAAGATATAAGGAACTATATGTTACTGATGAAAGCGAAAATGATCAAAAATGCCAAATTTTGTCCTTAATTATCTTATTTCTAGACACTAGTACACTAATGAAGGTCCTTAAACATCTGAAAAACATTAAATAATACATAGTGTTAATATTAAATAGCTAGAGTTTTGTTTGAGTTGAACATTTTGACTTTTTGTAATTTCCACTTTTAGCCCATTTTTTCTAAAAAATTCAAGCTATGTCTTCCTCGGACCAATATTTAGATATGTTCGCAAGAGTTATATGCTTCGCAGGCGAAATCCCTTATGCAGGAAACCCAAATAGAATGAAAAATACAGAGAAACTCCATCCAGCTCACAAAGTCATTTTTTGCACAATTCTCACACCTTCCACCCCGAGTATAAGGTAACAAAAACTTTTTGAAAAAAATTGAATTTTTTTTTCGATGTCAATCTTTTTTCAATATGATAGACTTTCATAAAAAACCAATGTTGATTGTCTAACCAGGTTAAAAGGAAGAATAAATTATGTTTTAGATATCATTGTACCATTGGTTTCTATGATAACTAAAATTTTGAAATGCATTTTTCTCAGAACCATTTTCATGCACTGATAAGTTCATTTCTCGCTTGTCTATCAACCGAAAACATGGGAGGATGTATGCTATGCATTGGTATGAATTGTGGCTAATTAGAAGATATGAGTGACCTCTAAAATTTGGTTTTAAATAAATTCACAAATTTTGGAACAAAAAGTCTATCAAAAACCACTTTTTGAAATTTAAAAAAAAAGTTTCACATATCACATTTTGATAACACTGGGTAAGACTACAATATAAGCCAAGGTGGTTTAAACTTCACATGGGGCCTTTAAAGACGTAACTTGAAGACCAGTTATCAATAGTTTCAAACTACGTCATTGCGTATAGAGACACCTTCTTATCTGCGATTATAAATTAGCTTATATTTAATATCTTAGAGAATAGTTCAATCTTTTATGAATATTGTAAAGCCAATTCGATTTTTAAGAACGATAACTGTTATTATATCATGTACGACGTCGTGTTGTACAATGCTTACCTTTTAAGGGAAGATGTTATTGCTTTAAAAGACTCGATCACCTGACAGTTGGATTTGATTTTTGATTAATATTCTTACTTCTTGCTATATGACGTTTACTATTATATAATCTTTATCCAGACGTATTATGCATGCGTGGACATTTTGCTTTAAAAATGTATAATGTCAAGATCGTTTGCTTTAGAAAACTTGTATTGCTATGACAGAAAATAAAGATTTTTACGGAAGTATTTTAGTCATATTTATTGAATATTATGTCGAGACCATCGGTTTATATACATAATGAAATATGTCTTGAAGATACATCCTTCAAGATCAGGCATCATTATCCAACGTCGAAAAAGTGAAATAAATTTGAACCAATGATGAGGTGCATGCCACGCATTATTAAACTTCACTGAACGAAACAAAACGGAACAAAAAGGGCGCTTGTAACAGTTAAAATATTACATGGAAACAGTTTGTATTTTGTATAAGAACACGACTTAAAATTTTAAACTAGTCAGAACAGTCCATCCAATATTAAATAAATATAGGTTATTCACTGGGAGGGATTGAATATGGGTTTTATTCCGAGGGACAATATGATATTGACCGAGGGAGCGCAGCGACCGAGTGTCAATATCATATAGCCCAAGGTCAATATCATATTTTCCGAGGAATGAAACCCATATTCAATCCCGACCAGAAATAACCTATTTATTCCATAATACACCCCTCTAAAATGCTACATTTGGATAATGCAAATAACCGGGAAAAAATAATCGGGAAACCGGAAATAGGTTAAAATGCTCCAATACGATTTTTATCCCGGGGACAATACGATTTTTTCATGTAATACGCTCCAATACGATTTTTTCCCGGGGACAATACGATTTTTTCATGTAATACGATTCAATACGCTTTTTATTCCTTAATATTTCCCTGGGAAAACAGTAGTATTATGGAATAACACATTTTATACGATTTTTGATCAGTTCAATAATATTTCGTGTAATGAAACGACCATTTGTTATATTATATACTGTATCTGTAAAACATGGACAGATTATGAGATATTAATGGACTCTGATAGGTCATTGCACCCTTGAACGAGGACAGCACAAGCAAAGCTTAGGAAATAAGCCATTGTTCATTGTTGAGGTCATAATAACCGCTTGTAATTCCTGTTTCGTTTTATACTTTCCGCATTACTAATCGGGTATACTACACATTGATGTGATAATTACTGACTAGGTACAACCCCCTTCATAAGTCTGGTAATCGGAAGGTACTCATTTGATCATTATTTCAGCCTGTCATCAAATTAGTTGAACATTTTCGAACCGAAGGAATAAAATTAAAACAATACAAGGCCGGTCATCACATTAAATTGAAACTTCCGATTGCCAAACCTACGAGGAAGGGGGTGTACATGTATGAAACACAAGTACATGCCTTCAGTAATAAATTGTTTTATCTAAACAATAGGGCACAATAAAACTAGATAAAACAAGTTGACCTTGATAATAGATAAAAAGAATATAACGTAAAGTGCCATCGAAAGGTTAAATTGTGTGTTATTGATATAAGGAAACTAGTCGATCATTTTGTCGAACATGATGAATTTTAGTATAAATATAGCTAGTACATTTTTTCTGCTCTCTGTAGCATTTTCGAGTATGAATGGCCTCGCACAATTCATGGAGGTTGAACAGGAACAAGATGTTAGTAACTGTACGTTGACTATGTTTCAAAATGATACAAACGCATATTACGCTTGCCTGACGCAGTATGCACTTCAACAGAATTGGTTTCCTTCGCCAATTGCTGGTCTATTCACGTATTTGGACTGGAATGGTTTCGATGGCTTCTGGCAAAATGGTGCTGTACTCGAAACAATGGCAAATTTCTGCCATTATGGAAACAATACTCGGTATAGGAATGTCCTGGTTAGCTCCTGGAGGACAATGGAATACCTCCTAAAAGCCTATTGGCCACTCCCGTCGTACGATGACGAGGGTTGGTTCGGCCTTGCGTTCTCGAGGATTTACGAAGTCACGGGAAACGCGAGCTTTCTTCAAATATCAAGAAATGTTACAGACTACCTCTGGACAAATGGTTGGGACTCAACTTTGCAATGCAATGGTGGATTTTGGTTTGGAGGAGGACACTTATCAAAGAATACTATTACAAGTGTGCAGATGTTGTCCCTGACCGCTAGAATGTACCGGGCTACTAAAAACGAAAGCTACCTAGCATGGGCAAACCTCACCCTAAACTACCTCGTGAAATCCGCATTGAACCACACAACATATCTTGTGTCTGATGGTATCGCCGACACGTATGATTGTACTCAGCGCCAAAATTATAACATTACATACAATGCTGGTTTATTTATAGGCGGTTTAGCTGAATTATACAAAATTAACAAAAATGACTCTTATCTAGTTTTAGCTGATAAAATAGCTCGGGCTACCATCGCATATAATAGTAAAGATGGTGTATTGCAAGAATATTGCGATTGGGACAATGCGTGTCAACATGATCTTGATGGACAAATGTTCAAGGGTATTTTTGTTAAGAATCTTCGATATCTAATGGATGTATCGGACAATTCAAACAGGGAGTTTTATTCTCAATGGCTTCAGAATAACATCAAGTCTGTAATAAAAAATAGTATTTGTGATAAACGTCCTGTAAGTCAATGCAACATATCTTATCTCGATGGTCCGTCAAAGAATCCGGCAGAGGGGCCGATATTTACGGAAAACTGGCTCGGTCCTTTCGACAGAGCAACGCCGATGTCGCAGACAGCCGTTTTAGATTTATTAATTGCTAACATTAAAGATGGCGTCACATGTAAAGGACCCGGATGTGCTTTCAACCCTGAATTGCCACCTATTGTCAAACTTCATTGTAGTGACAACCCATGTCCTCGTCATTACGCGTGCTGTGCTCGAGAAAAGGGCAAGTTCACCACATGTTGTCAGCCTTATCAAACTTGTGAATCTGATGGTGGTTGTTATCCACCTTAATTTCAACTCAAGGGATATATTGGTAAAGCTGAAAATGTTGACTTCTAATATTTCGAAGATATTGTTTTCTGAATATCCTCATTGACTGCAATGTTCTAAAAGAATAAAGTAATGTATACAAATAACTTTCATTGAAATACTTATGACGAAATAATTTTAATGTTGCATTTAAATATATGTTTCAATCCAATACAAAAGTCGTACTCTTTTACTGACATGTGAATGCTACTCCCGGGGATGCTACTTATGGAGTCACATTTCGTTGGCCACGTATGCCCATCACATATCATAATATGAATACTCTAGAGTCATGTCAATGTATTTCAATATAAATCGAAAAGATAAGGATAGAGTGTTATGTCCTCAAAGAGATGATATTGCAATAGTATAGTTGACTCTTACTTAAAATTAACAGTTAAATTCAAAAGACGTACAAATAAAATCAGACACTTTATAGCACGAGGCATTTTCAAGAAATGCTCAATATAACACCATTTTGTGTTACAAAGGAATCGAATGTGAATTGCCAATCATCCGAATATTGAATGTAATTTATATTTATTGTTTGATTTCCTTTCATCTATCATTTCTGACACACCATATTGTCATTAGCTGTCTTGGTTGCCTATTGCAAATTAATTGAGTTCAACAGAAGCTCAATGCACAAAGCAAAGGTTAATGAAGGTTAGTGAAGGTCTCCTATTGTCACACTATAAACATCTGACCATCAATTGATTGCTGTTTTCGCAATGATACGAAACAGGTTAAACAAATATGAATGTAGGTATAAATTGATTTTGTACTGCACTTACATTTAAAAGTTAAGTTTAATATGAATATTCTTAACATACATGCACGTATAATACAAGTATACAAGTGTATATGTATTCCGTCAAATCTAGTAAAATGCCCCTAAAATAATTGTCATGTCATTTATTAAAGTGTTATGTTACATCTATGTGTAATGAAGGACATCGTTAGCATGTGATGTAACAGTAGAAATATATGAGGAAAATGTCATGGTTGCCCGGTTGCCCTTTAATAAATCAGATAAAGTGAGTCCTATAGTTAGTTAGTTAGTACCTATAGTAAGGGCAAGAACGTTATAGTTCAAGATTCCGTTTGATGAGGTCAAAAGAAATCATTCATTTGACCTTTCCAGCATACACCATGCCTACCTTTTGTTAAATCGAAGAAGTTATTGTTATGTTGGCTGGATTGGTGATGACGTCATACAATGGCGAACATGGAAGATAGGAAAAATATTCTGGGACCCAAATCAAAAATTGGGCCCGAAATATTGAAACTGAAGGTCCTTTGATAAGCTGGCCTTAAATTAAAAAATAATACCCGAAAAGCTTAAGTAATGCCCTAAAGCCCACTGATGGCATCATCGATCTAGCCAATATATCATAGGTTTTTTTATTTACCAAAACGGGACATGATGTATTGGAATGGTCTATTGACAAGAACATGACCTTAACAAATGATATCGAATCATTCGCCGATCCTTTAAATGTGTTTGCTTAAGCTGTTCTTCATATTTTATTACGTATATTCTTTCACAATGACAAAATGTCGATACGAACATGTAGTACCCCCGACATAATTATCAGAAACACTTTGATATGTTTCATGTCGTATTGGTAATTTAACAACTTATCTTCGTGTCTCATCATTGTCAGATAATGACCAATAATGAAAAATAAGTACTTGGACATATTTAATCGATAGCAATTTCCAATGTTTCTTTTTTATCATCTTTTAATAATAAGACATGCCTTGACATTGATAATGCAAAAGTATTTATAATGTGATTGTGTGAAGAGGCCGACATATTTTAAGATCTGCAAATAATAACCCAGGAACACTCGACAAAGCTGATTACTGCCAAGAGTGATGAATAAATGAATATAAAAATACTATCTTTGTACTGTTATGAGGATGATATTTTAGAAAAAACACCAACCATGGATTACGCAAGGATTTTATATCTCTTTGTTAATCTTATTGTTTTGAGGGAAATTTTACACGCAGATGCCCTAAACCTTATTGAAAAGTTGAAACAAGCTAAACTTCAAAATACAGGAGTTGGTATATTCGAGAAAATTATCATAGGCACACATGGACTCTCTGCACGTGTTATACGAAAAAAACCGCCACCAGTTGTTGACGACGTTGTTTTTGCCGCAGGAGCAGGGAATCAGGATGGGTCGAAATACAAAGGTACATGTAAGGCTGTGAAAAGTAAAAGTGCCACATGGGGTTTTTGATCAAAGAAGAGTATTTATAACGCTATATTATAAATAATGCAATTTTTAAACTAACCATAAGTAACCTATTTTACCAAGGTTGGTCTCTAAATTATTTTCTTTATCTATATTGAATCGTGTTGCGTCAGCATGCATTTGTACTTTCGTACAATACCATATAGTTATTTTAACAGTTTGTAATCGTACGAAAGCGCAGCACGTTAAACGATCTATCTATTCTATCATTGCTATGTAAGTGCAATCTTAAGTGAACGAGCATTGCATTTCGAGAGATTTGTCCAGCGTGAGAGAGCATGCTATTTTTCATAAAACACGAAATTATTTTTAACTCATATGTATCTTTATATCAAAGCAAATTACTTACCCCATGCGATGGGTATATCATTTCCGGGAACCCTTAGGTTCTGTTTGAAGTTTGAAGCAGTTTCAAATGTGAAATGTATAGAGAGATTCGAGGAGAGAACGTGCCAATATGGGTCTCTCATCTAAAATGTATGTTATGTTTATTTCACATTTGAAATTTACTCCTAGCATTATCAAATTTCAAACAAATCGTGAAGGATACCCGCAAATAATAATGCAACATTAATTTGTAAAAATAAGTGGTTAAGTTTTCTTTCATTTTGTTGAAAAGGTGCATGCTCCCAGATGCCGGACATATCTTTGGATCACAACCCGTTTTACTAGTTGTTTCAAACTGCTGTCATTTTTCTTTGCAGTATGTGCAGACATTGTATTTGCAAATGATGCATCTTGTTCATTGGCCAACAAAGTCAAGACAGACCAAGTGGACCTCTTAGTCGCTATAGCGAGTAGAATAGAGATTTCAGATAAAAGTGCAAGAATTGGGGCGTTTTCTTATGGTCACAACGTCCATAAAGAAAGTAAAATGGATTTCAGCCCTAGGTCAAATAGATCTACCATTCTGGATGGATTAAATAATATCGCAAGAAATCTAGATCGTTGTAGGACCATGCCTTATCGGGCGATGAGAGAGTCAATAAATTATTTTACAGGGACCGATGATCGAGATGATGATGTATACAAGGATGTTTTGATTTTCATAGGAGATGGCTGGACATCGCCACCGCGGACACGCAAATTAAATACAAAAGAGGCAAAACGACTTAAGAAAGAAAATGTTGAGATTCTATGGATAAAAACAAAAGCGAAAGAAAATCATGAAGAAAGGAAGCAAACTAAAAATGGTGGCACTGCAGAAGATGTCGAGATTCTACCGATTGTAAAAGATGCCAATAAAATCTTTCAATACCCTCCAGGCCATCTTGAACGTATTGCTGAAGAAGTTGGCCAATTTCTAGCTTCGCGTTATTTTTGCAAGGAATAAATCCACGATATTCATGGTTAAAAGTGGGGCATGTTTTCGATTTTGAAAAGTAGTTTAGAAAAATAAAATGGAAACTGTTGTTTTCACTCATCGTTCTGTCCTTTTCGTATGCATACATCAAACAATATGTGCGATTACTGACGTTCGATTCCAATAAGGCTGTGACTTGAGATTTCAAATCTGTGAAAATGACATCTTTAATTGTCATTATGATTCATTTTAGCCATTTTATAGGCTATAGGTTTTTAAAGGTTCCATAGGTTCGGCACCCGATGTTTATTGTGAAACAAGAAAAAAGCAAAACAACTTCTATTGTTTGATATTGAAAAAGACGGGCCCTTTCACATTTCCTTTTCCATATTTACAACAGTTAATGGATTAGAGCTCAGATAAGTATACAAGTATTTTATCTGCAGTAAAGCCATCATTTTTTGGAATAAAATAGCGATTTTTTGAAAAATTCATCATGATCATGAATTCACGATTTGAATAATGTAAATATTTGGAAAAAATCCAGTGTTGGAAATTAAAGTTATTTTTCTCGATGGATCATTTCTTATATATATGTACTGCAGATTCAAAAATACCTTGGTCAAGTCACTAAATGCTAAAAGTGCAGCATATACAGAACCACATAATCCTCTAGAAAAATTGCTTATTAAAATACTATTCTCTGAATTTCTAAAGCGACGTTGCAGAATTTATATTTTATTTGGTAAAGTATTAAATATTGTTTTCAAATAAGTCAGATGATATCTGAGGCAGCATGAGATTCTGCAGATGGATGAAACATCTTCACAGTGCTTGGCCCTTCAATAAGTGACGCCATCTATAACAGGCCTAGGACTTTTATAGCAAATAATAATGTTATATTCATACATAGGCGTGTCCTATTCCAGCAAATCCGAACACGTTATTTCAAGTAACTGCATGCTATTATATAACCAACTATATTCACTCAAGGTCACTCATTAGATAGATTCTTTTGAAACCGATGAAACCGATAAGCTGATAAGTTCATACTTGAGTAAAATTCCATAAATAGTATCATACAAGGAAATAGCAAGCAACATATGCTTATGTAGCTCAATGTTAGGTGCTGTCTTGTCGTCAAGTCGACAATCCATGCATAACCCTTGCAAAAAGTTGAATTGAAAATATATTATCTTAGGTCATTTCATATATTTTTAGTGGCATTGTATAAAATACAAGGGCCGATCAAAAAGTTTCTTACCGTAAGAGGAGTTGGAAGCTCAAACTTAACATGAGACAGGATAGTAAGTTTGCTTGAAACTGTAAGAGTTTCATATAAATTGGTTTATTGGTAGTGACACAGAGTCAATTCATACTTTCAATGACAAAGTTAGGTGGAGCAGCGTTATATATATTAAATATCTGCTGAGTTGTGGTTCTGGAATTTTACCGACATCGTTTCAAACCTCTCATACGAAGGCCTTAAACATGTATATTTCGATCGAGTGAACAGATAAAGGAAGTGCATTGCAACTGGGGTTGAATATTTTGAATGAGAATGAATATTAGCAGAAAAACTAATTAAAGATGATTAAATTACTACCCTGTCTCATGTAAAAGTTTGAGCATCCAACTCCTCTTATTATAAAATCTAGAGCCAACGGTAAGAAACTTTTTGATCGGCCCTTGTATTTTGCAATATGTGAAAACTGTTTACCAATGGTGTATATTTATAATCATATTGAATTACCTATTTTTACATACAGCAACAACACCTTGGTCATTTTTGAAAATCAATTTCATCGGTTGTCATTTTACATTTTCAGTCTTCAAAGTATTTATCTCTCAAACCGGGTTGTATGAAAATTACAATACATTAAGGCACCTGTTCGTACTTTATCCGGGGACGGACGTAATTAGCATTTTTGGATTTTGAGCACTGGTTTTATTCCCTTGCACCCTATACACTTCGAATAGATTAAACGTTAACCACTTGAACGTTTTTACCTTTTTACTTGATGTTTTTCTGTGACAATCAAAATAACAACACCTTGGACAATTATTATTTTGAATTTCTTCTTCGATAAATCAATGACAACGTTTCGTCTGGTTTGATTTGCAAGACATTTTACCTTCTCATGGTGATTTTTCCAATCCACAACTCGTTTAAAACCCTGTTAATTCAAAAGTTTTGGGAATATGGAATTCAAAGTGCTTACTACACGGTCAATACTTCTCCTTACCAAAGTTTTGAATTTTTGTTCATCTTCCATGTCGTCATAAGATACATATATTTGTCATACATAAAGTAAAATGGAATAGTAATATCCTCATATCCTAAAATCTATTTTGGGCGACATTTACTCATGAAACATCAAATTATTTTTAGATTATGACATTGATTAAATTGCCATTAATTAAATCAAACCAGATGTATTACATATTCCTCAATCACGACAATTATATTCAAGTAGTTGAGTGGGAGTACAATATATTTGATATGATTTCTTATCAAAACTACATACCAGAGTGCGATTAAAATGATGAACAAAAAAGAAAAATGCGACAAGATGCATTTTGAGAAAGTGTCGGATTATTTCGAAAAGCTTTCATGATGACAAGAGACATATATTAATTAGCATAGGTCAGTTGAACCAATAATCAATGAGAACCTAATCAAATCCGTGTGCAGATTTGGTCTGAATATTTTGAAAAATTAAACTATCACGATAATAAACAATTATAATTATTTATTGTAGGTCAGTTTTCTCGATAATCAATTACAACTGAATCAAACCATCAAACATGGTTTATCAAGAAATTGTATTCACATTGGCACTACTTATGACCCACCAGCAAGTCGCACAGGGAAACTTCATCAACCAAATGAGGAGAAAAGCTAAACTAAACAAAATACCATCGAATGGAGTATTTGATAAATTTAAGTTGAACCTTGAAGGAGGGCTTTCTGCAGGTGGTATTCCAAAGATAACGACTAAAACGCCAAATAATGACCAGATTGTTAATCCGGCAGCGTCTGTGTCAGGTATGTAGGGCACTCCTAGATCATCTTGGCGGAATTGTTGCATGGTAATATCGATGATACACATAAACGTTATGTATTTTTACGCATATATTTTTAGATTAATATGACAATTTCTGAATTGACTTCATTTATTCTCAAGAATGCAGTACAAATGCACTTTCGCTTTTTGCAAGTAATTAAAACTTAATAACATTTTCAAAACCTGCATATTTACTATGATATAATAATGAGAAAAACGCTGAAACGATTTAAACGTCATTTTATGGAACATTTGCAGTTCATGCCTATCCAAAATGTTTATTTTGGGATATTTTAGGTCAACGATACATGAATGTAACTCCCTTTAAGTTTAAATAATTTCACCAAATGGAACCGAATATATTGCATATTAATCATAATATAAAAAAACTGGCAAACATGAAAAATGCTCTGTTATCGAAGCGGCTGATTAATTATAATGAATTATATTATATCTATTTTCAGTGTGTGCAGATATCGTGTTTGCAAATGATGCGTCTTGTTCACTGGGTCGCAATGTAAGAGATGACCAAGTGAAACTGATAATAGATATTGCCAGTAGATTTCAAATATCAGATATTGCAGGTGCACGATTCGGTGCATTTTCCTTTGGTCAATATGTCGATGTTCAAAGCAAAGTGGATTTTAACCCGGGAGCAAATAGTGATACCATTTTGACTGGGTTGGAAAGTCTTAGAACTGCGAACATGACCTGTAGGACAATACCTTACCGAGCAATGAGTATGGCGAGCGGATATTTCAACGGGGATGATGATCGAGATGACGGGGAATTCAAAGACGTTTTGATTTTTATAGGTGATGGATGGACGTCGCCAATACGCACGCGCAAACTGAGTTTAAAATTAGCTGACATGTTAAAAAAAGATGATGTCGACATTCTGTGGATTAAAACACAAGCTAGGAATCGTAGGGATGAAAAGAATGAGATTAAATATGGCGGCACCGCCATTGATGTTGAAATTCTACCAATTGTTGGTGATGTTGATAAAATATTTGTTTATACACAGGGGGATAATCAACGTGTAGTTAATAATGTTAGTGAATATTTGTTTAAAAAATATAAATGTGGCTGATAACATCGGAAAACATAGAACTAAACAAAACGACAATGTACAAGTATGGCTTACAAGTATTATTGATTGCTGTGCAACATCTAATATCCAGAGAGACGAGGAAACTACAATATGTAAAAGGAATAGTCCCCGAGCTGCTCCAGAAGACATGAACTGTCGTTGTCCGGTACTCCGCCACAAAAATGAACATACCGTTTGAAAGCACTGATTTCCCTTAAGAAAATTCATTTTTCATTTCATTTTGATCAAAACAGGGGCTTTTCTCTTTAGATTGGGGTCACACAAGGTTGCCTTCTAAAACAGCCTTTAAACACTTAACTGCATTTTAAGTATGATATCAATTAATTTCGATAAAAATAAAGTTATTTTGATTAACAAGAGACAACAGAATTTGAAAATGTCAATAGGATGGTCCCCACAAGCAAAACGTATGCAATAGTGAAAATCAGCATGAAGCAATGTTTTGCCCAATGCTTCAAAAAGGTAATGTGACATGTGTAAAGGGTACAGGGCAACAAAAGGAATTTGATGATATTCACTTAAGACAATATTTCATATATCCCCAGGTTAAGTCAAAACATCCTTGCCTTAATCCTAATTTTCTTAGAAGTAAAAGCCCCGGTTTCCCGAAAAATGTACCCTATACCAGTGTAAAGCATATACTATATGTAGGACAACCATGCAGTGATTTTTGTGGCGGACACCCGGACACCCGGACAACAATCTCATTATCTAGAGCTCTTAGGAAAATCAGCTCGGACTAGAAGTGTCATTCACCAACTTGCTCTATCTTTGACACTATGGCAGTTAATAAAGATCTGGTCTAATTTCTAGATAATTTTAAAGTGTCTTACTTTGATCGAAATGAAATTACTTGTTAAATCAAGGAATTACGTGACTGTTTCTATATGCTTGCATGCTGTCTGGCCCTTCTAGCACCCATGCTTCCATCTATTGTCCATTTTGGTAGAAAATGGTGAATTCCATAAGATGTCTTCAGAAAATGCAACTGACATGCTTGTCAATTCAGTTTTTATCTTACAGGCGCGTTCATTACGAAACTGTCTAGAAATGCGATAAAAAACATTGTGATAATTTTTTAAAACATGCAGGGAAGTTTCGTGGTTCCTTAAAACAATTATACATAGCTTTTGATTTTTCTAACTTGTGAATGTCAAAAATTGTGAAAAGATTTTCAAATCCCCAAAATAACAGTCCACTATATTGTTTATTATCCACATTACAGGTTAATCTTGCAAAGGATAATAGGCATCGATATGGTGAACTGAATTAAACAATGTTTTTCTCTAAAACCAATTATTGAAAACATTCTGTTAAAAAAGTCCTTTATGTAATTTGACTGATTGACAACAATTTAATGCGAAAATTATTTATATATATTTTGTATAACTGTCTTTGTTACTCAGTAAAAAGTATCACCACTCAAGCTGGGCGTTCGTGGGGATATCAGTTTTAGTTTCGTGGAATATTTCCCGAATCACATACTGAAACGTGTAAAAACTGATAATATCACAAATATAATGAAATTCAACAGAAAGTTATACTATTTTGTAAATTTTTGCAAGGTCAACCTTTGGCTGAAATGTGATATATCATGACCATTAAACAGATTATGTACATTGTGTTCTGATTTGCTGGAATGGGATATATCGTGACTATTAAACACATTATGTATATTGTGTTCTGATTATTCAAATGTGATATATCGTGACTATTTAACAGATTATGAATATTGTGTTCTGATTGGCTGAAATGAAATATATCGTGACTATTTAACAGATTATGAATATTGTGTTCTGATTGGCTGAAATGAGATTTATCGTGACTATTAAACACATTATGTATACTGTGTTCTGATTATTCGAATGTGATATATTGTGACTATTGAACAGATTATCAAAATTGTGTTCTGATTGGCTGAAATGAGATATATCGTGACTATTGAACAGATTATGAATATTGTGTTCTGATTGGCTGAAATGAGATATATCGTGACTATTGAACAGAGTATGAATATTGTGTTCTGATTAGCTGAAATGAGATATATTTTTTATTTTTATTTTTTTTAATTTATTTATTTGGAAAACGCTTTTAGAGCAGCGGCACTCAACCGGTGCATCCAATACATCATATATAAAATATAAATGGGATAAAACATATCATGCAAAAGACCACTAAAAACATGCATACGACTATTGTGTGCACTGTACATGTATTTTCTTTAAAAATAATTTGACATATTTGTCAAACTTCACGTAATTATCATGTCCCCACAAGATTAAAGTGTCATCTCCCAGAGCCCAACATGTTTTTAGTTGTACACTTCCTGCTAGAAAGTCAGAGGAGAGTTGGTGGTTGCAGTTTGACACAACATTATTGAAAAATACATTCCTATCACTACCAAAGTAGGGACAGACAAAAAGTCTATGCTGTATAGTATCTTTAACATTGAGGTTACAAAAGAGACATATACCATTGCCTTGACCCCATCTTTGAAGGTCGGAGCGAAGGCCAAAACATCCCGCTCTGGCCATGAATTTAAGTTTCTGACCATAGAAATCAAAGTCTGAGTTCATATAATTTTCCTTAGAAAGATTACTTTTCAAACATTTGTAAAGATTTAGGGAAGACTTCTCCCCTATTGAAGAGAAGAAAGCTACATGGCTTAAATCATTTTAGATCTGGATGTATGTTTTATACCAGTTATCATCCTGCCTTTGAAGGATGCCATCCAGACCATGTTTTATCAGGATCTCCTGAATATTGGCAAAATAGGGGAAAGCCTTGCCTTCCTGACCATTTATGTATTTGTTGTACATTGTGTTGAAGATAGCTTTGTGAACTGACCCTTCTTTAATAGAGTGCTTTAAATATAAAAAAAATCGATTTGACGTTTTTCAATGACATCTAGAATAGGTCTTAATCCTAAATCTCCTAACAATGCCTCTCTTGCAGGGCGGCATCTAAGCTGGAGAATGGCTCTTGCTACATTGTATTGCATTGATTTGAATTTTTTGCAAGTTGTCTTATTCAGAATCAAGGTGGGACATCGATGTAATAAGGCTGGCAAAAACATTGTATCATGCATTTTAATTCCGAATTTGACTCGCATAACATTGCAATGCTTGGTTAAGGTTGAACTTATCATTCCTTGTACTCTTTTTGATTTAGAGCTTAACATATTATTTATGTGGAAAGAATCCTTCATGGACCTGTCAATATGTATACCCAAATATTTATAGTTCTGAACTTCGGAAATATACGAGTCCCCCAAAATCGAAGCTTTTTGTTTATCTAGACGTTTTCCTACTATCATAACTTTTGATTTTTTAAGCTAAATTTAAATCCCCATTTGATTGAGAAATTATCTGCAATTTTTAACATTTTGTTTAAACCCTCTTCATTGTCAGCAAGTAGTACAATGTCATCAGCAAACATTAGAGCTGGGATTTTTTGCCCCTCGAAAGGAATGCCTGTTGATTCTTCTTGGAGCATTTCAACTAGTTCTGACATTACAAGGGAGAATAGGGTCGGGGAAAGACAGCAGCCTTGCTTTAGGCTATTAATGGAACCACTTTCTTCCCAATCAGTTGAAATTGATATATCGTGACTATTGAACAGATTATGGATAGTGTGTTCTGATATGCTGAAAGTAGTATACATCGTGACTATTGAACAGATTATGAAAATTGTGTTCAGATTGGCTGAAATGAGATATATCGTGACTATTGAACAGATTATGAATATTGTGTTCTGATTGGCTGAAATGAGATATATCACGACTATTGAACAGATTATGAATATTGTGTTCTGATTAGCTGAAATGAGATATATCGTGACTATTAAACACATTATGTATACTGTGTTCTGATTATTCGAATGTGATATATCGTGACATCGTGACTATTAAACAGATTATGAATATTGTCTTCTGATTGGCTGAAATGAGATGTATCACGACTATTAAACAGATTATGAATATTGTCTTCTGATTAGCTGAAATGAGATATATCGTGACTATTAAACACATTATGTATACTGTGTTCTGATTATTCGAATGTGATATATCGTGACTATTAAACAGATAATGAATACTGTATTCTGATTGACTGAGTATTAAACCAGATTGTTTGCAATTATATAATTGTGAAAATACACGACATAGTGTCTTCAATGTAAACCATTTGCAATTTTAACTTCCCTGTAGGCGGTGTTGAATTATTGGTTTGATCTTGATCATCAATAACACAAATTGCATTTAAATTTCATAATGACATTATGTTCACACAATACACTCCCCTCCAAAAGTTTTCCACCAGAATTACCATTTTGGAGGACTCATTAAAGACAGCTTTGTGTTTGGCGCTTCAAGAAATAGTCACATTTTCAATTTTCCGAAAGATGTAATAAAGGAACAACATTAAAATTCAACATTGGCAGGCTTTGATATGTTAACCAACTTATGCAGGGGAGTGAATGTCATTCAATAAACATTTGCAATTGACAATTTTTCACTTTTTTTGTCGTACACAGCTACTATTAATAAAATATTGGGCAATTGAGTATAAATAATGATTAAAATGTCAAACATCAGATACAGTGCTCTTAGTTACTTGCTGTATACCCTGCCACTGCGATTGGCGTCGAGAGAGCGCTTGTTTTTTTTTTATAGAAGTTGAGATGGGACGTTTTTAAGGGAACCTTTTAGTGAACGTGTAGAATTATGGTCCTCCGAGTAAAAGTTCTCCGTCGTTCTTTAGTTTATCGACAGACAATAATAACCAGATATTTTTGGTCATATTAATGAATAACATTAATTTTAACTATTATTAAATGCCACAAATGTCACATCAGTCTGATAATCTATTCATTTTCCCTCCTGAGACAAACACGTCAGATAATGTAACCATATGGGTCTTACGTATACATAGTGGGTTTATACTATCCACAACGATCAACCTGTGCCCATCACACGTTTCTAATTCCTTACTAAGACGTTCGTTAGAGATACTAGTAGATGAGATGGTATCAAATACTATATTGTTCCGCAAATGTTTCACGGTCAACGGGACTTGGACGGATATTATGTATCGTTTCTGAATAGCGTGGAGATGAATCGAAGCTTTAACACGTGGAATTGATTTACTGACTTCATTTTAGAAAATAATTCAGTTGTTTTGTTTGTCTGTGCATCGATCGTACAGAATAATAAACACAGAGTTATTCTTTGGGTATTTATCATGCAAAAACAGTGAATAAAGAATATATACCAAATAGGTAGTATACGCCTTCATTGGTTGTACATACAATACAACCAAACGACTTGATCGACTTGAAGTGTCACGCTAGTATTATTAAGTAATGGAAAAACAAATACTAAACAAATACTGAGTGGATCTTAATCAATAACGAATAACAATGATTCTTATTCATTACGTTGCGGTAATAAAAGGTTAGTTAATATTATAAATCAAAACTGTCACCTCTCTGTGTGTTTAGACATATATAATGTAATATACCATTCGCAAATAATACTTTTAAACCACTTAATAACATACACTGTCATAAATGATGCACAAAAATTAATATGTGAAAATAACACTGTGTTACCAGGATTATTATTCGATATCAAGGATTATCATTTAGGCAACTAGCAGACATGGATTACATAGGGATTATGTTGATCTTAGTTCAACTTGTTGGGTACAAGCAGGTCATACATGCAAATTTCATTGACCAATTGCGACAGGCTAAATATGGATCGGTGAATAATAATCAAATCGATAAAATAGTCCTTAGGCCCGAGGCGGGGCTTAGTGGAGGTATCGTCCCAAAAGAGCAACCTGTAATACCGGCAGGATTAAAAGAGAATGATACACCTCAGAATACAGGTAGGGATAAAATAAGTCGGTGGTATGAAGGACATAAAAATGGGGGTATCATCATAGTTAAAGTCCCCATATAAAGTTTAAACCACTTTGGCTTATATTGTAGTCTTACCCAATGTAATCAAAGTCTGATATGTGAAGCTTTTTATATTGATTTCAAAAAGTGATATTTGAAGGACTTTTTGTTCGAAAAATCGTGAATTTCTTTTAGAGGTTACAAGTATCTATTAATAAGCGATAATTCATACCAATGCATAGCATTCATCCTCGTATGTTTTTTTGCAGAAAAAATTAAGTAAAGCGAGAAATGAACCCATCAATCCATGAAAATGATTCAGAGAGATTTGCATTTCAAAATGTTAGTTCTCATAGAAACCAATCACGGGTACAATAATATCTAAAACATAATATATTCTTCCTTTTCACCTGGTTAGACAATAAGCATTGTGCGTCAACAAAACATATTGATGAAATAAAAATTAAAAAAGCAAGGGAGGAAGGGGTTGAACATCAGGAAAACATTTCAGAAAAACATGTGGGTGGGTTGTTTGCATCTTTCATGTCTCAAAGTCGAATCTCTAGGAGTTCTTTATCTTGAGGTAATGCATTAGTCTTGGATATGTACCTGTTTAAATCCTCTGAAAATAGCAAAAATCCAATACATGACTGTCCCAAATCTGTTGCGATACTTTCCCTCCTCCTTAAAATATTTGAGAAATGAAAAGCTGTCAACTTTTTTTCGATTTTTTGAATCTAAAATAACTTTTTAAGTCGTGACAAAATAGTAAATGAATGATGAAAACATATTTTCAAACATTACAAGGGGCCTTTAAACACCCTATTATATTTCTAATTTAGGATGATATGTAACCCAGCGCCCAATCAATAATCATGGACAAACAAGCTTCTTTTTGAAAGAAAATCCTCACTCATAACATGGGCTTTCAATTCTCTAGTTGAAGGCCCATGCTCATAAGCAGTGTGTGGGTTCCGAACTGAATTAACTAATTAGTACACCTTTTCAAAGGTAATTAAATCATTTAACTTTACAAAACGATTTTTTCTGGATTAGAGGTTTATGCCAAAGGCTATTGATTATGAAAGTTATATGTTATTAGTACAATAACGTCATTTCCGAAGGCCCAAGGTCCAATATTTTACTATATTGCTCGCAGAAATGACGTTATTAGTATTATTACCACCGTTAACGACCAGGGCTGAAATAGCAAGAAAATCTCACGCACTGAATGATACTTCATTTCCCGGGGAAAATTTGCCGGTCCAGAATATATTCTAGACCGGTCCATATGGACTACCACTATGACGTCACACATTTCTCAGGTCGATATAGTAAAATGAATGCCTTCTAAACTAGCACTAAAACCCCTAGAACTGGCCCGGCAAGGTGGTAATAATAGGAATTATTATACTCATATTGCATATGGATGACATTTGTATATTTCAGATTATTTAGTCTTTTGTGCTATTAGCCCATGGCCTCTTGTAACTTAAAGACTATCAGCCATATTATTTTTTCGGAAGTAAAATAGAAGAGAAGGATAAACATGTAAGAGGGCATACAATATTTTTAAACAAAACACAATAACAATGTATCGGGTGTCCCAAAAAACGTCACACTTTTTGACTTGTAATACCCCAGTTATTTGAGAGCCAAATTATTTGAAAATTCTCGGGACCAACTTTAAGCTGTTCTCAGCAAGCACTAAAAAATATTTTCTGCATGCTCTTCTTGGTCTCCCGCTACGAGCTTTCCTTGCCACTGATTCTATTCTTCGTATTTTGGCAATGAGTCTGTACACAGAGTGGATGTTCCATACCTTGTTAGGAAATTCTCTAACAATCCTGCTGCCACCCAAGCCTTTTTCCTTGGAACAATTCTCAAGAGTAGATTTATCTGCATCACTGAAAACCATGATTGCTCTTTTCCAAATGACACTTTGGAATGAATCTGTCTTGGACACAAGTGTCAATACAAGAATCTGAACAGCTTGACTCCTAGATGACCTAATTTAAATAGGTCAACTTCCGCAAGGTCAATACTGACAACATTTTCATCACCTTGTCAACCATACAACACTTAGTATCTGACCTGCATATTAGCATTTCGCCTGTTATTACTGAACTTCTCAGATGACGCAACACTGATAAGGCATTTTTCAACATGCTATTTTGTTCTGGGCAGTTCATCAGAAATATTGGGTAGATTTTTTTGATTTTTTCACAGTCAATACAAAATATCCTGATCCCAATAAGCCGAGATATTGCTAGTCAAAAAGTGTGACGTTTTTTTTGGACACCCGATATGACCCAAAAATATGTGTCATTTTTTCTGTTTTTATTCTAGTGTGTGCGGATATTGTTTTTGCCAATGATGCATCTTGCTCGTTGAACAACAAGGTACAAACCGATCAAGTGGACCTTATAGTCACTATAGCGAGTACATTAAACCTAGATGAAGGTAAAGTTAGAGTAGGAGCGTTTTCCTATGGCCAATATGTCGATAATGAAACAAAAACTGAGTATCTACCTGGAGCGAGCAGATCTACTATTCTGGCTGGATTAAATAATATCGCAAGAAACTTAGATCGCTGTAGGACTATACCGTATAGGGCAATGAGTGAGTCGATGAGTTACTTTAAAGGAAAAAATGATCGAGATGACAAATTGTACAAAGATGTCCTTATCTTTATAGGAGATGGCTGGACGTCACCAATACGTACTCGGAAGCATAACGCAGTTGAGGCAAGGAAACTGAGGAAAGCAGGGGTCGATATTTTATGGATAAAAACACCAGCTAAAAACGGATTAGACGAAATTAAGACAATAAAAAATAACGGTACGGCATTTGATGTTGAGATTCTTCCCATTGTTAAGAATATGGATAAAATATTCAACTACGAGTCGGGTGACAGTGAAATTGTGGTAAAACAGGTTACCGATTATTTAGCTTCTCGTTATTATTGTCAAGGTGGTGAGCAGTGAAATAGATAAGATATATTTTATTTCATTTAGAATTTAAAAAGAAATAAATTCAAAGTGTCTAATTGTATGTACGTGGCATTCATTTTTTAAACCCGAAAATTTAGGCCAAATATAATTAGAGAATTAACACTCGACAAAACCTTTTGAATGTAACATTAATTTGTTTCCAATGCCTCGATCCCTTTAATCTACGGCAACAGAACCGCGGTCGAAGCTTCTCCAAATCGAGAGGAATATGCAGCATAATATATATGGATTAGTTTCAAAGACAATTTGTCAAGCGGGTCGTCTCATTCTAATACATCTTAAGCTTGTGAGAGCCTATGTTATAAGTGATAGTAGACACTTCGGAACCAACTATGGTTTGCCTTGACACCAGTCGACAAGAAAAAGTGTCGACCGATTTGCGATGTCGTTATGAACATCTTTCACTATGCACAATGTCCTAAATCAATTGGTTGTCGTTATTTTAAAAACTTAGGCTATTGTCCCGTTGCATCAAATCAAGATCACAGTAATATCACATTAGATCAATACACAGAATATTATTGACAGTAAAACTATATTTTGAATAGTACTTTTACAGAAACTGCAAGGCCCTATACATAGTTTTCATAGTGCATGAACAGTTAGATGGGAGCAAAGAATATGTTATTTTTTGTGGCCTGATATAGTTTGCCATGTTCTTCATCGAGCATTGTTTTGAACACCAGATTTATTTCCTCTGGATCTATTGTGGGGCGGTGGTGAAGCTCCATTATTCTCACACGCGATGACCCAGCTACATAAATGGCCCAAATCACTATACTATACCTTGCATTTGGTGTTGATGAGCAACCCATTTGGCCTATTGGTAATGCGTATGCTATTTGTTTTTAATTGTCTGTTCCTTATTAATAGTCTATCGGATGACTGTTAGATGTTGATAAGGTACTTTCGAAATATACTAAACAATACCATCAGACAAACAGAGTATCTTATGCATTTCTAGGGGTTAGGTATAGTGGAGTTAAATTCCATACGATGTCTGGCGTTGCGAGCCCATTAGTAAGAAAAGGGTAAGAATACACAAATCTAATCTGAAAATTAACATATAATCAATACATAAGTACATGCCGACAAGGACTATCTAAACAAAGATTGATCTTTTTGACTTGAGCCAACCTGCGGTTTACTTGACCTGGAACATCACATTTGATATATCTGACAACATCCAAATGTCATTTTGCATACAAGAGATGTCATACTCGACTGATTATGAGTTAACAACAAACAGATAATGAGACGGCGTTATTTAATATTTCGTCGTTTGAAACTTCACTCACTATATACATAATCAGGTAATTATTTTTATTATGACGTTTGTCATTCTAATAAGAATCTGTCTTTATTAATATGAATACAATGGACAGTCGCTCAATCAAAATAATAACTTGACTGACAGTATAATAGTTTAACAAACATTTGTCTGTTTATTAATTGAAGTTCAAAAATATATAACAACCGTATGGTTGTATCAGGTTAGTATTTTAGACTGAATTTTCGACTTGAAATTTTGTTACCAGTTAGCAACAAAAAGATGTATAATCAAATGACTATTCTTCTTTTAATACAATGTATGGGAAACAAGCTAATCATAAGTTATAGTCTCGCACAACCGAATGGAGGTAGCAGGGGGTGGTCCGATCTGTTTGATGAGCTGCGCATAATACCCGATGGAGGACTGTCTGGAGGTGGAAGAGCAAAAATCACGACACTACCACCTGCGCCAAAAACCGTTGTTCCTCTTGTTCCTCTTGGTCCATTGCCCGATTTACCAATAGCACACGACGACAATCAATATGCAGGTATGATGTTGATATAAGTGAACATAATTTTGAGTGTACGTATGTATTTATGAAGTGTTTGTTACCCACAATCATACTAATTTTTAAATGTGTAGCTAAGAATGACGTTTAAAAGACATATTGTATGTGCATTTACAATCTACCAAGTTTGACTATTTCTTCATGAAGTTATTTCTGCTTCAAAAGCAATACACATCGTATGTAAATCAAAAGATCAGGAAAAACGAGTTATACTATATTCTATATATTTTGATTTCAGTGTGTGCAGATATCGTCTTTGCAAACGATGCTTCTTGCTCTCTACATGGGAATGTGAAAGCTGACCAAGTGAATCTAATTATAGACATCGCAAGAAGTTTTCAAATATCAGATATTGCAGGTGCAAGATTCGGTGCATTTTCCTTTGGCAAATATGTCGATGTTCAGAGCAAAATGGACTTTATACCGAATGCAGATGTATCAACAATTCTCTCCAGGTTGAATAACCTAAAAACAGCCTCCCTATCTTGCAGGACAATACCTTACCGAGCGATGCGTATGTCGAGGGGCTATTTCAATGGGGAGAATGATCGAGATGACGGGGCGTTCAAGGACGTCTTGATCTTCATAGGAGATGGTTGGACGTCGCCAATACGCACGCGCAAACACAATATAAAGGAGTCGAAAAAACTTAGGAATGATAATGTTGATATTCTATGGATCAAAACGCAACCGAAAGGCAAGACTGGATTAACAAACGAGCGGAAATATGGTGGAACTGTTGAGGATATTGAATTACTGCCAATTGTTGGTGATTCCACTAAGATATTTGAATACAAAAATGGTGAAAGGGAACGTGTAATTGATGAAATTACCGAATACCTGTTAAGCCATTATACATGCGATGTATAGAATAATTGTACAATATCAGTGTCGGCTTCAGAATTGTAAAATATGAAGTTGATACCTTTTCATATATGTTAGGCCACTACGAAGCGCCGTATTGCTAGAAATACTTCAAAAAGGGACACATCTGTATACATTCACACGGAGCTAGAGAACTTTATCTGAATTCCGCCAATCAGAACACAGTATTTCAAATAATCTATATTCTTAAAATAACTACCAAGCGTGGCTATTTTCAGAGAGAGAGAGAGAGTAAAATTAATTACAGGAGTATTTCATGAGTATTTCAAGTTGGTAGTTGAGTGAAAAATTATAGATAGTATGATAACAAATGGAGATAAAGGCAGGTGCTTATGCAGGTCAAATGAATTGGAAAATGTTTAGTTTTGACTATTTCACCGTTGATAACCCCATGCAAAATTCTTTTGAGCGACACTGTTCATAATCTTTTGCAATGTCTGAAAAAATCTGAGCATAGGACTCGATGAATTGTGGATGATTTAATTAACGCATGCCTTGTACATTTGTGCTTCTGCACTCATTGAAAGTCTGGGAACAAGACGCACTTTGTTTAAATCATCCTACAATTCATCGAGTCCCGATCTAAAATCATTTGATAACTTTAATTTTCCATGCAAATATGATGGCACCATGAAATTATTTGAATGTCGAAATAGTATGTAATATGGCATTATTTTTGCTTCTTTATTCATTAAATTCAAATATATTCGATATATGAAACATTTATATTCGCTAAATCATTTTTCCATTCGGTAAAAACGTTTATATGTTTGTTACAGCAAATTAAGTTTTCAAAATAGCCAATCACTTAATACTATGTGCATTAAATTACATATTTCATTCGTTAAATAGTTTTTTTTGCGTAAATTGTTATGGTATTCCTTAAGAGTAACACATTATATGCACAATATTGAATTTCTATTTGAACCCTACCGAAATAAGTTTGCCTATATTTACCAAATGGTTTATTTTTCTATGACATAGTTAATGCATTTTACCGAAAGCTAATTTGCTATTTACCGAATGCAATAAAGTAATATTCGATAACTTGCGTTGTTGTTCGATATTTTGTCACGTGACTTCGAGATTTGCAAAATGGCCGCGCAGCTATTCTACATCGTACAAATATATCACGTGGCTGAGTCTCGTAAATTATCGAAAAATAACGAAATTTATCGAATGTGGCATTCGGTATTTACCGAATATAAATAATTTAAATACCGAATGTACAAATAATTGATTGAATTATACGTGCGTTAAGGAAAACAAATTGATTCGCTGCATCACACAAATACATGTATAAATATCAAATGTGAATATCAATACAAAGAACAAGTGAAATTATTTAGCGAATATAAGTTGTATAAATTATTACATTTGATAAAATAAAAAAACTTTCGATAGATTGGGTAAAGGTTTGGTAAATTGTTTGTTTTATTTGGTATTCATGGAATATTAATGTACCGAATAAAGAAGCAGTTTAAACACCATATTATGTAAGAGATAAACTGAGGTCTTTCAGCCAGTTTATTCCCTGCTTTAACATTTGATTCATTGACGTAAATATATGCCAAATAGATCATTCGTAAATCAGGTTAATGCATTCATGCTAGTGCGAATCTAAATATCATGAATAAGATAACAAACATCTAGAATCAGTTGTTTCTGGTATAAAAATGTTGGAATAATGAACAAGCTTTAACATTAGAGTCACTGACGTAAATAGGTGTCAAATAGATCATTCGTAAAGCAGGCTAATGCATTCATGTAGTGCAAATCTAAATATCATAAATAAGATCAACAAACATCTAGAATCATTTTTTTTCTGGTATAAAAACTTTGAAATAATGAACAAGCGCAATGGGTCAAAATAAACAAACGAGAACATTCACTAATAAGCATTTAGTCCATGACTAAAATATTAGGTAGGCGAAGAACAGAAAAGCAATTAATCACTATGGTCATTGATTGAAATGTTAATTATGCTTATTGGAAATATTTTCTCGTATGATGGCGTTAACATTTGCAAAGTTGGTATCAGCTGAACAAGAGGCATTTAAAAAATAATATGAGATCAACAAACACCTCAATTTTCACTATAAGTACTATGAGATTAATTTTATTTTCATTGTATCATTCTATAATGTCAAAATCGGTGTGGTCTCGATGTGTGCAATGTTCAAAATGTGAGTATCCCACATTAGTAATTCAACAAATGTATTATATTGCAAGTAGTGTATTGCATCTTTGTTGACAGAACCAACTGTTTAAAGATGTGAATTATCTCCAAAGTGGTTCACTTGCTCCGCAGTTAGAGCAACCCCCTCTTAGCATAGGCACATACTCTTTGGGTTTTTGGTATTTGGGGTATGCCTTTGGCCGACAATCGGATGCTGCTCCTCTAGTGAACGTTGCTTGGATGATGATACTTTCACAGCCGCTGGTAGAGCAGTAGTCCCAGCCAACACGATCATTTCTTGCATGAACTTTCACGAAAAGCAGACTGAAATGACATTCATGCATATGTTTTTTTTTCGGGAGATAAACATTTCGAATAACACACATTTTTTCTTTTCTTTACTATATTAGTGAAAACCGCAGTTGAAGTATATGCAGTAACACCGGTACAGAGATGTAGCCTAGACAGGCGGAAATAAACAACAAACTAAGATATTTACATGGATCGGACGAAAATTAAAATGATTGATTATCTTGCCCAGTATTTCACATTTTAAAACAAAGGAACTGGAATATCTAGTAATCAACATTTACAGTAATTACGTATACTTACCCCGCACTTTCATCCCAATAGTAATTGTTTCCGTTCGCCCTGTCTATGTCATTGATGCTATTCACCTGCTGAAGTCGCTCATTGACTCGTCTGTAACCTCCGTCTTGTACACGGTAGTGCACATCGAATTTGGTTCCAGAGGGATAGCAAAGTCCAACTCGAATATTGTTTCCGCTAAATGACAAGATGAAACAGACAATAAAGATAACTTTGTCGTGCGTGTATCAACTTTAATACGTCATACGTTGGGTCAAATTCCTGAAGTGCATGCAATCACACTAAATAAAATGAGCTAAAAACAATTGATGTTGGAATCTAAAGAAACTAACCGTTCAAAATTGATAGCTTTGAGTTCAACCTCTTGTGGAGCCCTCTCGCTCCAGTAGAGAGTGTACGACTTTCTCTCATGTAGGACAAACATGTGGTTACTGCCAATACCTTTCAGTGTTTGGGGGTTATTGGGATAATCATCTCTAACGAGTGTCGCATGAAGATGGTAAGGCTGTCTCCCATACACATATAGCTAATTGAACATTTACAGATTAAATTAAGCATCACCCGACATGCATCAATTGAACTTATATTTTGGATATTTTACAATAAGATTGTGTTTGTTTGTTTTAGCAAAATGTTATAGTTTAGTTATTGTCTAGTACTCTATTTTTTATACAGAAAGTCAAGTATATCATGATTCTGAAGACATAGCATGCTTCAACGACTTTTCAAGGAAATTTTAAAATAATGTAGCTTACTTGAACGACTTTTCCAGAACAAACTTTAGCGTTGAAAAGTTGGTTAATTTGACAACCTTCATGGTGCACAAGGTAGTTGTCTGGTTTGACCAATGTACTGTCCTTGTAACCAGATAGTGTACCGTCTGGGTCGGTTATGACTATTGTCTTGTCTCCATCATTGTCGTGTTTCCCATAGAAAGGGGCGTTTTTCATCCCAGTGAACAATTTTACACTCTGAAGAGGTAACGGGGAACATATGGATAGCAAAGTTTAACAGCACGACATCATCATCATCACGACATCATCATCATGGTAAACTACCATAAATATTTACTTGTCTCGAGTCAATGCAAAATCATGTTTTATCTAATTTAGAAACGACATATTATACTCATGATATTCAACTTTATATTGGCAATCACCAATATCAAAAGGTAGTTAAAATTAATTTTTAGTACGTAAAATACCTCGGCATCAAACTTGTTATTTGTGAAAATGTTCTTTGGTGTCATTTGGAATGGGTTGCTGTAGAAGAACCCAATTGCCTGAACCTTTCTGTCCCCTGTTGGAATAAACTTCCGAAAGGTGCATCCTTCTATTAACATTGGTCCATCATATATCCTGTAACCTGTCAATGGGTAGTGCCTAAAAGAGGGCATCATTCATATTATTAACACTGCATATAAGTAGTGTCTAGAGAGGAAAAATATGAATATATAGACATGCATTGCCAATTTAACCATCTCAAAACCGATCAATTTATTTGAGATATATGCACGAACCGCCATACAAGAACCATGATTAGACTCCCAAATGTTCTCAATCAACTGAAACCACCCGAAACTGTCGTCAAAGACCAATACATGTGTCACATTACGATTGATAAAGTTTAAGGGAATGCTAATATTTAGACATAGAATGTGACAGGCATTTTGACTGGCGTGAAACAATTTGGGAATCATATTAATATATGTTCTTCTTCAAAACAAATTTCAGTCAGGGAGATAAACATCGTGATAATAATAATAATACCATATTGGTCCATTCCAGTTGAATGAAGATCCAGAAGGGATCTTGGTTGTCAATGCTCTTTGAGTGTAAAGTAACACTTACGGTGGCTCAGGATGAGTCCTCATAATACCGTCATAGCCTGGGCCCCACCATGTGTGTGGTGCTGGACCTTTATTGCCATGGTTTCGACTCTCACCCACGAATATAGAATTTCGGATTTCTTGGTGTGATCCTTTATCATAGGGTATCTCTCCTGCGCTGTAGAAAAAATCATGTTAATGAATAATAGAAATTGGTACCATGTAGCGATTTTAAACATTTGGATACATGATCTTCCTATCTATTTCATGTTTTTTATTTAATGATTACACAGATATCGGCATTCGGATTACATATTGCATGAAAAGTACCATTAGAAATACTATTAATTATGATTTATGACCTGATTGAGACATTTTTTCGAAAACAGTTGTTGGTCGAGAAACCTCCAGTCTACCAATAGTGTTTTGCTTGTGAACAAATGATAAATATTGATATATATATATTGTTATGTATTTACGCATTAATTGTGATTCTTTTGATTGCACTGACATAGTTACACATTTTATTTCGTGATAGTGAAAAGAATTGATGCAAATAGCTATCAAATAGTGGAAAATAAAACTAGATAATTATGATAAATGACAATATTATAGATCTGCTTTTTGATTTGTGCTATAATTCTCACCTCGCTAAGGTTAAACCTATTCCATTGTCAGCAAACCTGGATTACAAACAGAGATAGATATTTGTATAATACAAAATGTAATAGTAGATAATATGTATTCTGTTAAACGCTACAACAAATATTTATCATGGATCACAGAGTTCAGTAAACTTGGAATACAAATAAATCTGTAGATCACGAGACATTTGTTTCATTAATAAAATAGTGATAATTTGTAATGACACAGTGAACGTGAATGGAAGATTTGAGCTTGCACATAAAGCCGATTTGGTATCGTATTGCATTCGCATACCGTTTCACCACTTCAATGTACATTGTACAGCATCAGTGTTTCAAGTTTACTTAATACTGAAAATTAGAAGTAACAAATACATAGGGGACTAATGGGATGTTTTTACTCAGAGGCATATAAAACATAGGTCTCTTTTTTACTAAATGATTTTAGTTTATGTATCAGAAAACCAGCTACTGATTAAATCTGATTTAACAATTGCTAATAGTACGCTATTACACATGCTGTAAAATGGTTACATACCCAGAGTTTTTGAAGAATATATCACCACCTCTAACCCAAGAGCCTTGACCTTTGACCTTGTATGCAATGAAGCCATCTATTATTGCAGGGGCTCTCGGCATCCTAGAATCTGAACCGATGTGCGGCGCGTACCTACAGTTATGACTTGACAGGTGTGAAAGAAATTATGGTCCCCTAGGGATCATGGTCCCCCTTTTTAAAGGCCCTTACTAGCCCTGATTGTGTATAAGATAATTAGGGAAAGAGGTCACCATATAAATCAATGGAGGGTAGGACCATGAATTAATAGGACCTCCTACCTTTTTACACCGGTATAACGTAACGAAATGTAATAACATAATGCCACGTCTTGACTTCACCAAAGTCACGCCTGACTAGTATACAAACTGTTCAACCCCGTCCTTAGAGTGGGCTATGGACGATGCTAAATCGGTCATGGGATGTCTGTGATACATAGATCTTTATGATTAATGATAACCTACTACAAACAGAACGTCCAAGCAAGTGCTTAAAAGTTCTAAAAAACTAAAACTTTTGTAACATTTGCTCTGTCGCTCTGTCATTTGCTCTGCTCTGCTGAATATTTTTGTCGATTTGGGGATGTCTACGGCCGCCGTACGGATGTCGTAGATCAAATATGACTGAGGCATTAGCGTCAACATCATTTTCACAATCTATGCCCGTAAAATTCGTCCAGAATGTAATTAATGAGAACAAGTGATGAACATACCAAAACTTGATAGTATTAACTAACCGAATGAACGTTCTCAGTGAGAGTTACTGAATACATATTTAAAAGAGCATTCAATTCGTTATCTATATGGGCGATTTCCCAGCTTTGATAATTACATATTAAATGTTTTATGTCTACGTCTATTGATTGTGCGAATTACACATCATTATGCATTAAAAACTTGTCGAGTAATTTTCGATCTACAGATACATACAGACCAGCAGAGACGGTTAGTATTTCGCTTGGAGATCTCGCTGATGCTTCGCTTGTTTTTACTCCATTGTCGATGATGAGGCCAGTCTAGATAAGATAAACTCAAAATGACACTAGTCAAATAATATTTATTTTTAGTTACAGATGTACATACAGGTTGTCCAGAAAGTTACAAAAGTTCTAATTTTATAAGATTTGCTTGTCCAAATATGAAATCAAATCTCATTGAATTAGTTCATGTGTACCGTTTCTTTTATTTGCTTTCTTGACACCACGTAAAATGAATTGTGCGTCATGATTCATAATTCTGGATACAAACAATAATCACATTTGTTCAATGGTTTTTCGTTCTTTGCAAGTGTTGAAATGATGATCAATGGTTGATAGTTGAAAACACTGGCAGCATGTACATACATGTACATGTATACAATAAAACAGACATATAATTGCTTTTACTCGCCATATTCAGCCAAAACGGTTAAATAGAATTGTTTAGGTTTCTTAAATTACAATAGCACATACATAATGGGTGTTGTAGAACATGAAGTTGGGGTATATCGTGGATTCAGTTTAATGAGATTTTCAAGAAAATGTTAACATTCTACCAGCAACTCACCCTTGGCACACTATGGACTCGATTGTTTTTGAAAACTCCCATTGGACTTCTACTTCCATGTCCATTGGGTAGTTTCCCCGCAGAGAGACCAGTTACTTTATTATGGAAAATGAACCAATACCCCACTTGCTGTTAAAAAAGAATCCTTCAATTACTTGATAATTATCAATTATAAATATCAACAAACAAGCTATGATGATAAGTACATAATAATTACAAGGCAAAACATATATTTAATCTGGCTAGCATATATGACAACAGCATGAGATATGTACTTTAATTTACAGCCATCTATATAATATTAATAACTATGATTTTAAAGCCATGGTTATATACATTTATCGCTTCATATAAGTTATAAATAAATCCATGATTATATATTCTCTTTTTTTACCTATGGTATATTTCAAATGTTTTACTTACTGCAGAGCCTCCAGCAACATTGTTTATGAAGTTGTTATTTGGATGGGCGATCCAGAATGTTGTAACTGCACTGCAAAAAGTTAAACTCGCCTTGAAAACTTTGCAAAGGCGTAGCCTTGAAATCTCGTTGAAGTCTCGTTTAAATGAGATTTAAGATCTGCGTGTTGAACTGTTAAGGACTAACGTTACCTACTTTTGATGAAATACGTGAATTGCGGGTATTATTTCTATAGAGAGCCATATTTACGTATAATATCCTTACACTGTTCTCAATCAACTTTAAAGTGTATCATATACGTACTTGCAAGCATTTGGATCCGGAATATGCCCAGGCCAAACGTTATTCAATATTTTCCGGCACATATTACTATCCCTATCCGATGGTAGAAGTGTCCCTGGCTTAGTAACGAGTCCCAAATTTCCATCCAATGTGTTTCGTTGCTCGGCGCCATCCTCCAAGAAATAGCAATGGCCGAGTGTATCATATCCAACTGTGTCTTTGATCTATAAATAGAATGTAAAGCACATGTTTCATTGCATTCATAAGTCAACGTTGATAATACAAGATGAAAATGTACATGTCGGTAATGTCTGGGTCACATTTGCTCCGATCCACCGGCCGGCGCCCGGCCGATTGAGTGTTTTGTTCAGATTTGTTTCGAATTTTGAAGAAAATACTCAATCGGCCGGGCGCCGTAGTGAAAAGCAAATGTGATAAAGGCATTAGTAAGCAGTATTTAGATCAGAATATGACATTTTAAAAACTAGTTTGAAGTGACTAGGGCTTACAATTTTTCCAGTACAAAATGCAGTCGGCTGTGGAAGTGAATGACTTGTTTACTTTTTTGCAAATCTGATGTAATACAGTTGTTGGGAATAAAAACACCAAAAATGATAGCAGGAGAAAACACAAAGCTAAGAAAGACTAACCAATAGTCCATCGGTTCCATGTATAGTAACACATCTGGAAAATGCGTGGTGTATCGACACTTCCTTTACGTACGTTGGCTTTGTATATCCGCCTCTTTCATCGACGTCATGACAAAGGTGAAAATGGATTGGGTAGAACCCTAGTCTCTGCTGACCCATGTTCGTAAGCTCTAGTCCCGATATATGCACAGACTTGAATCCTCTCAGAATCTACAGGTAAACCAAAATGAGGCTTAGTCACACTGAGTTAGCGTACCCCTCTCCTATCGCATCTTTTGACAAAAGTCGAATGAGTGTTTTATCAAAATGGATGGAACACGATTGATAGTATATAGTTAATACTATAGTAGAATATGTGGACCAGAGTATATGATTATATTTGTTTGATATCATTAGTAAACGACTTGTATCATCTAAGAATATACAGGAAAACCAAAATGAGGCTTAGTCACCACTGTAAACTTTTTGAAGAAAATAACAAAACATCTTTAAACCCAAGTCTTAATACACTAGTAAAGACGTAAAAATCAAATGTAATACGAACAAATAATTTGACCCATGCGTTAAAATATCTTTCACCCAGTAGATACCTTAACGTGACCACCATTTGTGTCATATTCGAAGAATCTGCATTGGTTGTCGCCGTAACAGTTGCCTTCCATCTGTCCTTTTACAACGATGTTTCTACTGAGGAGTCCCACTTCACCTCGCATGTCGACGCCTTCGTCCATCTCCCCAAAATGATTATATTTAAGTTGACCTGTATGATATGGGCACATTTTTAAAGACATTGAAGTTTGGCAGATTGTAGACTGTTTTAAAATGCCTGTTCACATTTGGAATTATACATTTGGTCATATTTTGATCAACGAACTTCACCAAAAGTTCTCATTGTATAGATTTTTTCACAACATACAGGTACATTTTGCTATTGTTTCTTGAGATCTTCAATTATCAATTAAAGCTTAAAGTCCCCGTCTAAAGTTTGAAAATATTTTTTTATCATTCATTTACTATTTGTAAGGACTTAAAAAGTGATTTTAGAGATAATCATCAAATATTTTTTAATGCATTTCAAAAAAGATTATCTTTTTAACACCAATGCAAAGATTGAACAAAAGACACACTATTTCAATAATAAGATGTCATATTTAATGGGCCACTTCAATGTTTTAGATTATCAAAAATATTTTGAAACATTAGTGATGTCACTAGGTAACAAAAACTTTTTGAAAAAAATTGAATTGTTTTTTCGATGTCAATCTTTTCTAAATATGCTAGACTTTCATAAAAAACCAATGTTGATTGTCTAACCAGGTTAAAAGGAAGAACAAATTATGTTTTAGATATCATTGTACCATTGGTTTCTATTAGAACTAAAATTTTGAAATGCATTTTTCTCAGAACCATTTTCATGCACTGATAAGTTCATTTCTCGCTTGTTTATCAACCGATTTTCTTATTTTTTTTGGGCTAATTAGAAGAAATGAGTGACCTCTAAAAGTTGGTTTTAAATAAATTCCTAAATTTTGGAACAAAAAGTCAATCAAAAACCACTTTTTGAAATTAAAAAAAAAAGTTTCACGTATCACACTTTGATAACATTGGGTAAGACTACAATATAAGCAAAAGTGGTTTAAACTTTACATGGGGCCTTTAAGAATTTATATTGTAAAACTCTGCATTTAAGTATATTGGGTTTGTTTCTCCAATTACAAAGTTTGCGCATGCGTACCTTCAATTTTGATTTGGTTCCTGTTGCACTCACAACATCTCTGTATTCTAAATTCTTCTGCTTGATTCATATCGTAATCTGTGCTTGCAATAACGATCCAATCCCCTTCGTTCCATTCTGTTACGTCATCCTTTAAGCTTAATACGGGGTTTGTTTCACCTTCATTTGTTTATAGGATATCATTAGTAAAATTATCATTTTGCTACATCAATCACATAAAATACTAGTTGCTGTATTATGAATTCTTGGTATGGAATGAGATTGTTAAACGTAAAAATAAATCTTACATGGTTGAAATAAGTCAACCTACCTTCACTCAGTGACCTGACTAACTGAGTCCAAGATCGTTTCTCCTGTCCATGGATTTCCAACACTGCTCCGTCTGAGACACCAATAAACTTCCGCCCAAAATCGGCATTTTCAACTCCCTCGTTAGACTTTCCAACCAGGATGATTGTGAATTTCCCTTGGTATTTACAAGTCTCTGACCCGATGTGAAGTTCGCCTCCATTTCGAAGTAAAATGCTTCGTACCTTTAGCCGTATATGCTTGCTTGGAATATCATTGATTACAAGCTTCCCTTGAATAGTAAATTTTTTATAATCGTTATATTATATTCCTGGATATGAATTTAAGCTCCGGAATAAGCATATAATATCATATCATTTAATGAAGTCCTAACGTACATGTTCTGTTCTTTTATAGAAGCCAAGAAATGAAGAAACTTGAATAATGATGTACTCATGAAACGATTTTTATCCGCGAATAGATATTGATACATGCATTCTAGTGGTAGACTTCTTGCTCCTGCAAACAGCATAATTTCGTAGACGGAAAGGCTAATATCACTTCATCACATCAACGTTCATGACGCGATGTATGTCATCATTCATTGATAATGCCTGGGTCACATTTGCTCCGATCCATCGGCCGGCGCTCGGCCAATTGGGTGTTTTGTTCAGATTTGTTTTCAATTTTTAACAAAATACTTAATCGGCCGGGCGCCGTGGTGAAAATCGTAGCAAATGTGACCAAGGCATATATAAGTACAGTTGTGAAAACTGAAAACCCCAAAAACACTTGCCTCCATTTTCAACTGTTATTGATCTCAAAGTAGCCGAATCATCTAACAAATACGATTTCCCTTCGCCGATGAAGACATCTCTGTTTTCGTCATGTCCGGGACGCCATGACGTCAGGCCAGATGCTTGATGTGGACAAGCGACTCGTTCGATTGCACTGGTCGACTTGCAATTTGAGCTAGATGTGGGCCAATGTGTATTGCCTTCAACTGCTGAGCCTGGAGTAAAATGAGAGCTGTTTCAATTCTGAGTTTATATTTAAATGAATGCAAGTCGACGAATTTAAGTCAAAATATATTATTAAAATATGGAATGTGGAATCAATAAAATAAACGTTGGTTATATGGTTATGATTAGAGTAACAAACCTCGGTAGATTATATAGTTCACCACACATGCTTGGGAGAACTTTACACCATTTGTCATTTAGGTTAGAAAGAGATTTTATATCTGCGTTAATTATGTAAATATTTGCCCACAAATTATTCACCGACAAAGGTGAAATCATGAAAATGGTAATAGAGGCATTGTTATCGAAATTAGCGTCTGGAAGAATCGCTCGTGTATTGTATATGTCAGATGAACTACTTTCAAAGATACAAGTAATCTAGCGAATTAACAAAAATTGAAATGTATAACAGTCATGGCCACTCTCTGACAACCCCATTGACAAAATACAGATAATGTACTTTATTTCAAGTACATGGGGAACTGTTGCAACAAACGATCTAATTCCGGATAAGAAGATGAAAGAGCAGCTCAAAGAAGACCGATAGTGAATCCATACATTGAATCACAATGAAATTATGTCATATTCTTATCATTTTGTCATATATATGTATATTGAACGTTTATGACACTTACCAGACTGTGTTATTGGTCGACTTGTAGGTTCCACTACATCTGGTCGAGTCGGTGTAGAAACCTCAACTGCTGGGCGTTTAGTAGTTGTTGGACGCGGAGTCGGCCTAGCCTCGGCCCTCCAAGTTCTATCCGTTATTTGATAGCCCCGACCATTTCGTGTGTAGTAGACCCAATAGTGAACGACATCACCGGGATTAACATTTACACGAGTGTTTTCATGGATATAATTATTCCCTAAATATAAAATCAATACAAGTCAAAATTGACATAAGAGACGTTGACTAATGGACATACATGTATATGAAAAACAATTCAACATGTTTGTAACTAATAATGAAGGGTAATAATGATATTTATTTCAATGTAGTGAATTTGAAGTTTTAAATTAAAACAGCAATATTTACTCACAAACCAATGGGCCAGATGTGAAGAACAACGTTGTTCTTCACGAATTAACCTAGTAGTTAACTCCCATTGATATTCAATTTTTCGATTGCGAATTGTAGTTCAATTATTCAAATGCAGTTTTGAAATCCACTTGACGCAAACATTCACTACGAATTTTCATCCAGAAGATGCCCCGCGAAGCCATCTTTTGTCAAAGTCGCAGACGAAATACTAATGATACACCTATCTACCCAATCTCACTCTTACCTATTTTGTTCCAGACGTCAAAATTCCATTGGCCCGCTTGAACCCCCGGTAATATTGTGTTGACGCTGTAGTGAAATGCTACAACTGTCGTACCGGGTCCAGGGTCTGTAATTATCATTAAGTTTTGGTAAGAGTTAGGATATGCCAAGTCAAATCGACAAAATTTCAAAATGAACTGTATGTTATTATCAAAAATAAAATAGATGTCATCTCTACATTAATCATATACAATAAAACCGTGTTAACCAAACGCCTATGTGATCATTACGTCAACACAGTAAGTACATACCCTCTAAGGTGAACCTGATGCCTTTGGGTGATAACAATGCAAGCTTGGGCAGCGATCCAAAGTTTGCAGAGGTAAAGGAGACGAATGCAAACAATATGGAACACACCTGTAAAGTCTGAAAGAATGTCGAATAGTAATACAAGATAAATATCATACATTGATATTCTATACACATACACAAAAAATGGTTTTTTTTTGTATCATAAATATACGTGGTTTGTTAAAAAAATATTGTATATGGCTTCCTATATCTATTTGCAACACTGCCTGATATTTATTTTGAAAAAATAACATGGCTGAAACTCCGAAGTAACAAGATGGCGGCCATCGGTTTATTGTATAGACTATATCCTCTAGTCTGAAATTTTTTTGAAATTTGGAATGAAAATATTCAGACTATAGCCCACATATGTTAAAATTTGGGATTGAAAATTATTTGTTTACATAGGAAGTGCCATTCAAAATGGCCGACTGGGTAAATTAATTTGCATATTTGTTACTTCCCCTAGCTTTATTTCCATTTGACAATATGCTGTGTTACTTTTTATAGCATTTAATTGTACCTTACTACTTAATTGAATTGTTATAATGCATATTTTTGGGAAGTGAAGTTTCCTAAAATTGATAATAGTTTGCTGGAAATTTCCTGTTTTTTTCCCACAGGAGGAACATAATGATCAATAGACTGAATTTTTCAGGAAATTCAGTCTATTGGATATACGACTAGTTTATTGTATATAAAACTAGTTATTTTCTCTTTTGATTGCTCAGGTTTTAGTGACGGAGAAATAATGGACAATGGCCTATAAGCTATTCAAATGATACATTAATCTTTTTACAGTAATTTGAAGCTGAACATACCTGAAGAAAATACTTACCTTCATCATCTCCCTATACTGGCGTATAATCAAATTTATGAAAGATACTGTGATGACAAGCAGTTCGCCACCAAATAAGATAAGATATAGTATCAGTTGCAGTTTACATAATACGAAGTTTCGTTCCTTTTATCATATGAAGGCGGTTATGCCCTGGTCACATTTGCTCCGATTTTTACTACGGCGCCCTGCCGAGTGAGTTTTTTGTATTGTATTCAATTTTGAACAAAATACTCCTCGGACGGCGCCCGGCCGATTGGGTATTTTGTATTGGATTCAATTTTGAACGACATGCTTAATCGACCGGGCGCGCGTGCTGATAATAGGAGCAAATGTGACCACGGTATTACTATTCCAATCCCAATTAGACCGCAGTTTTTTCGCTCTATTCAAACTGAGAAAGCTTACAACTCAATGGACTGGGGACAAAAACGTAGACCCTGATGTGAACAGGGATTTTCTTTGCAGGAGTTATGCCATGCATGAAAATTACAAACAGAGAAAAACTGTCGTCTTTGATTGTATATTTGCAGTGCATGTATGGCAGAATTGCTCCATTTCACTTGGGAATAACTTAACTGGGAACGAAGATATGATGTCTTCGATTCAGCATGGCCAAAATTTCGGTAGAAGAATTTTTGTTTTGTTGATTCTGTCACCTGACATCCATCAAATTTTAACTTAAGGTGCCATGATACTTAACAGAAAATGACGAAACAGGAATAAAGGTGATAAAATCGAACGAGAAAACAAAAATCATTATCGACCAGAGGTCCGTCCATGCTGTAACAAAGACATTATGTAGTCTTCATTTCCAGTTGATCCCCACTGTATTTAATTATTGCATATCTATTCACTCACTCCATTTTCCATGACCATTGGACATTGGGATCATCAATGCCTCAGTTATGTCTAATGCCTGGGTCACATTTATGCCTTGGTCACATATGCTCCGATTTTCACTCCGGCGCCCGGCCGATTGAGTATTTTGTTCATAATTGAAAACAATATCGAACAAAACACTCAATAGGCCGGGCGCCGGGCGATGGATCGGAGCATATGTGACCCAGGCATTACTCAGATCCATCGCCCGGCGCCCGGCCGATTGAGTATTCTGTTCAAAACTGAATACAATTGTGAACAGGATACTCAATCGGCTGGGCGCCGTCCGATGAGTATTTTGTACAAAATTGAATACAATTTTGAACAAAATACCCATATATTTGTTCAAAATTGAACACAATTTTCAACAAAATACTCAATCGGCCGGGCGCCGTCTGCCACGCACTCTCAGTCCATTATTGTAAGCTCCATATCATATACCAAGGGTGATATATGTGAGTATTTTGTTCATCCAACACAATAATGAAAGTTGTTGCCATAGCACTGTAAATGTAACATTCACACATGACGTAACAATTATAATTATACAGCTTGATGACGTCATAGACACTATCGCTGATATTGGTGGATACCGTTGCAATAACAAACATTGTAAATCGATTCCTGAAATTGCTGTTCACAAGTAAGTTGCATTTAAAAGTATTCTTTAAATGTGAATCTAGGCTACAGGCCCGTAGCCAGGTGGGGGGGGGGGGGGGGGGGGGTAGTCGATGTGAATCGAGCGAACTCCCCCGCCCCTTGCCAAAACTTTTTTCATCATTCTGAGCACTTTTTAAGTGATTTGGGCCATTTTTCTCTCCGAATCGATTGTAAGACCATTCAAATATCCATACGTTAATCGAAGAAGTGCTGAGCGATTGAAACTCGTTAGATCTTTGCGTTAGATAAAACGTAAGAAATGTTTGAAAATTGAAAAATTGTAACTAATTTTAAGAAACGATTTAACGTGAGGTGCATTCTTACTCAAATGGAATAGGTCAGTTCCGTCCGCGTCCGATCAATCCATGTCACCAGTAGAGGGCATTCGATCGTGAATTCAACACAATCTGCATTTCCGGAGAAAAATGTCGTTATTGAACTGATATGCTGTATGATATAAATCGTAAAAAAACAATGTGCTTTACATTCCACGTATAAAACGTGACAATTCGGGGTCCAAACTTTTCATTTTAAAATATGATATTGTTTTATCAAGTTATTATTAAGTTATGTATCAAAATTTACCAAATATTCCTCGTTTATCTTGAAAATCTCAAAACAGGTAGATATGCATTAGTCCGGATAAACATGGGGAAGAAAAAAGACAAATCCAGCAATAACTCGATCAAAACTTAATTCGTTCCCCTCGATCAGAATGCACTAGGTAATCCAGTCATGCTCGTTATGAATCCGAAAACTAAAGAATGGCGATTTGTTCAAGATCTTCAGAAATTGAAGGGTAATATTGAAAGCGATTCCTAAGCGATATTCTATTGTGATCATTTTTAACAAACTAAATAATTTTGAGTCGAATATTTGATAACTTAATTTTTCTTTAAATCAGGTTGGGACTGTGTATGCATGTTTCTAGGGATTGAATTATTTGAAGCGACATTGAATAAAAGCGACATGAACTTATAAGGCATCTGGGGCCCGTTCTTCTACCGGTCTTAGTAACGATCGATTGTTCCCAAGTCCATTGTTAAATTTGCGAATTTCATAAAGTTGCATTACCGTAAGATCCGTAAAGTTTTGAACAATTCGTAAAGTTATGAAAATAGTGACGTCATGCCTGCTTTCGTTCGCATATTTAATAGCACATCTGGCCTTTTCGTAACTTTGCGCACGGCTTCTTAATTATTGTATTTTGTGACGTTTTGCCATTTTTTAATTAGAGAAACACATCCAGATCAAATCATTATCAACTACGTCTTTTTGATTAGATGTGAATAAGAAGCTGTGACAGAACAGGAATATAGACAATGACATTATATTAATATATGATGAACAAGTTATGGGTAATCTAAATTCAAAATTAACCATTGCACAACACCCACCACCACCATCACTATCGCACCCGCTCTCTCATACCATACTAGTACTTTTATATCTTATATTCGTGTACACAGGGTGATGGATACATTTGTGTTTCTCCAACCATCTAGACTTCTAATGACCAAAATAGTTTAAGCAAGCTGTTTCCATGGTACCGTGAATTTTTCATGAGTGACGTCAACAATAACGATTATACAGCGTGATGACGTCATAGTAAATATTTCTGATTCATGGATACCGTTGCAATAACAAACACAGTCAGTCAATTCTTAAATTTGAGGTCATGGGAACTTCAACCATGGTCCATGTTCCAACCAAGTAAGTCGAATTTAAGAAATTATTCTTCTAAAATGGGAATATATACGATGATTAAAGAAACAAAGACACTATGGAACAACTAAATATTTTGCTGTAGAAGTAGTTGGATATTGAGCCAAGGCTTTAAGTTTATGCTTGGAATAAAATCACCAGGTTTACATGTAAACTTAGGCCTATGTGATTTGGAAAAAATCTATGAGCCAATCATCTTTGGGAAGAAATGATGGCCTTATTCTTCGGGAATTGGAATTGTGTTTTACAGCAAGTCCGTGCTCAAAAGATCGATGGCAGGGGCGGATCTTGGAACCAACAAGGGGGAGGGCCCAAACTCCTGGTCTGAGAAAAAATCTTCCGCGCTTGCGTGGAAAAAAATTTTGGGCCCCAAAAACCCAAAAGTGGGCCCAAATTTTGAAATTTGAGGCCCATTTTCTTCAATATTTGGCCTAAAATTAAAAAATAAGGCCTTAGTAGGCCAATTTATGACCAAAAAGGCCTACTTTTTGGTCCCTTAAGGCCTTTTTTGGCTCAAAATTTTTTTTGGGCACAATTTTTTTTTTCTGGGCCCACCCAAGGGGGGGGGGGGGGCCCGGGCCCCTGGGCCCCCCCCCCCAGATCCGCCAGTGGATGGGTCTCTCTATATACAACAAATATTCGTACGTTATCGAATAAGTATTTTGAAAAAGTCTTGGTGAGTTGAGGTTCTTTGTCGATTTGGTAAAAATAATTGGAAAATTCCGTAATCTTTTTAATTTAAACTCGAATTGTCTTATTTTAATCCTGTCCCCAATGCTTAGCTTCAATAAATAATATAAATGTATTTGAAGCGAATTAAGTTGTCGGTGATTGACGGGCATCTTTATTGCTACTCGAAAAGAAAAGGTCGGTTCCGTCCAAGTAAAAACAAACGATGTCACTTCACCAGTATAGGCATTCTATCCAAAACAATACGGAATGGCTGATAAATAAAAAATACAAAGACACAAGCTACATTTTATAGATGTGAAAAAAGCCGTGACAAAAGATGATCATAGAGAATAACATAACATTAACATATTCTGTCAGGCCTACGACTTTATAAGATATTAATTAAAAGCTTCAGGGGCGTAGCCAGCTTTCAGTCAGGAGGGTGCGATTACAAAAAGCATTATCAAGAAAAAAAGATTTATTTTCAATTTTACAAAAATTGATGCAACTTCCTTCAAAATTGAGCTAGAAACTTCAAATAAAAAGCATTTTAAAGATCTTTTCTTCTTCTTTCTCGTGTTTAGTGTTTGTTGGTTATGGGGAGCACCCATCGCACTACCCTAAGCTTTGGCCTATGACAGACGAGGAACATAAGCAATGACATTAAATCAACACATTCTGTCGAGGCCAAGTCTTTCATTAGATGTGAATAAGAAGCTATGACAGAAGAGGAACATTGACAATGACATTATATAAACACATTCTGTCGAGGCCAAGTCTTTCATTAGATGTGAATAAGAAGCTATGACAGAAGAGGAACATTGACAATGACATTATATAAACACATTCTGTCGAGGCCAAGTCTTTCATTAGATGTGAATAAGAAGCTATGACAGAAGAGGAACATTGACAATGACATTATATAACAACATTCTGTCAAGGCAAAGTCTTTCATTAGATGTGAATAAGAAGCTATGACAGAAGAGGAACATAGACAATGACATTATATAAACACATTCTGTCAAGGCCAAGTCTTTCCTTAGATGTGAATAAGAAGCTATGACAGAAGAGGAACATTGACAATGACATTATATAAACACATTCTGTCAAGGCCAAGTCTTTCATTAGATGTGAATAAGAAGCTATGACATAAGAGGAACATTGACAATGACATTATATAAACACATTCTGTCAAGGCCAAGTCTTTCATTAGATGTGAATAAGAAGCTATGACAGAAGAGGAACATTGACAATGACATTAT